AATAGCCAACTTTTACCGTACTTTATCCACATTCAGGAGGTGGTTTTCTTTTTTAAAGTAAATTTTGTTTTTTCCCCCATTGTACGAAAATGATATGCACGGGTTATAGAATATGAGCAAAGTACTGGTAAGCAAAAAGAAAAGAAAAATCACCCATCAGTTAACTGTTTTCACCATTTTGTCATACGTCTTCCTAGTTTTTTCCACGTACATCTATTTATAATATTTTCTTTGGCTAAGATGTGAGTTTTACTGAATGTGAAATATTGCATCTGTAAAAACTAAGCACACAGATGCTCTTCCAGATATTTTTTGAGCTTCCTGAAATTATTTAAGCTGTATTCGGTGTGAGTTGATGTTGTCACATCCTTAGGATGGGTTTCCCACGAAGCGCTCAGATTCTCAAGTCTTTTTCGTGATGCTGTGTTTTTTGAACTGTAATTTTCGAATCTCCGATTCTGACAATAACAGTGTATCTGGTTTGCCTGGGTCGTAGCTAACTGATTTGGTATACGCTTATTCAGATTTTCAAAGATTTTTTAAAGTTTACCATGTTTTTGGCATTGGTTTGCAAACAATAAAACCCGTAGCTCCCTTTTGAGGAGGTAGAGAGGCCGATTACAGATGTCTCATGAGGCTTACGCCTGTGTGGCCTGCTTCACCCTTCAGCCGACGCTGTGCTGCCCCTTCTGCTTTTGACACAGGAGGAAGCTCTATACACACGTGAGCATCACCATTTGCAATTCACTGGCACTTCTGGCATGGTAGAGCTCACTGCCTGGGAGAAAACCTGGTCTTTACGCACTTACCCCAGTTCTTTTTAGTACTCATCCTTCCCTTGCATTTGCACTCACTGCTACCAGGAAAGATAGTTAAGTGGTCTAGAGAAAGTGAAGACTACAGTAAGATATTATCTTGGTTCCTATGGCTCTTCTCTGACTTATAATTAAATTACCATGTTTTCCTGAGTAACAAGGGAAGGTGATAAAGCAGCAGAGGAAATGGCTTTCGGTGGTTTTGAGCCTTGTTACTCCAAGTGTGCTTTGCAAGGCAACGGCATCAGTATCATCTGGGAGCTTGCAAAAAAATGCGAAAATCTCAGAAACTACTCAGATGAGGCACTGGGTGGCTCAGTCGGTGAAGCGTCTGAATCTTGATTTCAGCTCAGGTCATGATCTCAGGGTTCGTGAGTTCGAGTCCTGCATCAGGCCCTTGCTGGCACGTGAAGCCTGCTTGGGATTCTCTATCTCTCTCTGCCCCTCGCTTTCCCTCTCTCTCTCTCAAAATCAATAAGTAAAACTAAAAAAAGAAAAAAAAAAAAGAAATTGCTCAGATCTACAAAACCAGAATCTGCATTTGGACAAGAGTTCTGGTTCTTTGCATGTACATTAAAGTTTAAGAAGCACCTGTCTAGAGGAATACATTTTGTTAAAATGTTGAAGTTCAGTCATTTATAATCATGCATTTAAATAGTGTAATCTGACACAAGACCTTGATGTTATTTTGATTTGTTTGAAAACAATCCCCTCGCCGTGTGATATTAATCTTTAAACCACAAAGAGTAGCTGCGATCTATTCCCTTACCATGGTCACTGATGTCAGATCTCTCATGAGTCGGTTTAGGCTGCACCCTGAATAGACTTAGAAAGGTGCATCAGACCACTTATCAAAGGCTCTTTATGCTTAATCATACTAATAGAAAAGCAATAACAACAACAACAACAACAACAAACCCTTCTAGATGACTTAGTCTTTGCCAGGCATTGTTCTAAGTGTTTTAAGATAACTCAATGTGCAAAATGACCCGTTAGGATAGACACTAGTACTGTCCCCATTTTACAGGTGAGAAAGCTGGGACTCGGGAGGACTGAGTAACCTGCCCAAGGTATGCAGAGAGTAAGTAGCAGCGCTGGAATGCAATCCTGACTAATTAGCTCCAAAGCGCATTCTCTTAATCACTCTGCATAGGACGATACAAAAACACAACATGACCATTTTATGTGAATTTGCAATATGCTAGTTTGAAATCACATAATATAGAAATATAAGTTGCCTCTCTCCTTATGCCGTTTTGAATCATGCAATATTCCTAAATTTAAAAAGTGTCAAATATCTCGTAATTTTGAAGCCTCCTGGTTGAGTGACTGGTAAAAGTGTTTATGCTATTACCACGTGGTGGCGCCGCTCTGACTAGGAAACAATCCAGCTATCCTTTGTCAGCTCTGGAGAAAATCAGCCTGGAATTAAGCTAGGTCTTTGGGAATAACCCTCAAATACAGTGTAATCCCTATGAATTTGACTTATTTACTGTAGGCCTGGATCACAGTGTCTGCGTTAATTTCAAGTGAAAAACTTTCAGCTCTATATAGTATGCTCATTCGTATTTGAGTTGTCACATTCGTTTCAAAGATTATCTTTCAAAAAAGGCAGTGTGTTGGGGAAGAACACATTGTAATTCTGCGGCAACTCAGTACTCTGCTTCTACTACCACATATCAAACAGACTTTGCGAAATACACAAACATAAAACCTGGCGTATCTGGTGCCCCCTTTTGTGGGCACAAAACAAATTGTTTCAAATTACACAGACAACCAGCTCCTTGTTGTTGTTCTTGTTGTGAGATTCACATTGTTTACTTTAATAACTATCTGACTCTAAAATATTCTTTATGTATTTTAGCACAAATTAAAGAAAATTCAAAATAATTTTGCACATGTATGTATACATACACTAGCAGACCCCCAGTGAATGCTTTTCTGCTTGAAAAGTTTATGACTATGAAGCTAGCAGTTCTATGTGCTAGAGCATGAGATCAACCAGAGACTCATCCAAAGTAGAATTTCATCAAGAAATGAAATCCAGGCAGTCTTTCTACTGCTAAGGTGATCATAACAACACTAAAGTCATAATTTACTGAACTAATAATCATTTTACTATAAGTTCAAGGCAAAAGTGAATTCTCCATAAGAAAACAAGTTATCCCATATCATTTTAAAACTGTCAGTTTATTCACGGGTCAGTCATTAATATATGTGCCAATATACTAGAAATATAGATCTAATAAAACAGGAGGTTATAGTAAGTCATTAATTAAGACCGGCAGCTTTGGCAAACTGTCTGAATCAATTTTACAGACTCGTGTCAAAAGTGTTAATAGTAGTTGAAAGGGTTTTCAAAGGGTAGCTCGCAAAATTAAAAAAAATATATCCATGACTAAAACCCAGAGATAAATACAAAAACGTGTATATATAAATTTCTTCACTAAGCCCCTGGATCTGCCTTGTTGAGACCATTTCACACAACGTAAATGGGAGGTGAATACCCACGGAAGAGAAAAAATGCAAAGTGGGGGTCCTTATTCCCCTCCATGACCTCTGACAGGTGCTCCAAGGTGGATAGATGATGGAATGATACTAAAAAGGCAGCCCATTAATAAGAGATGCGAGAGCAGTGGGAGGTTAGGTCAGTGGCGACATCCACGGAAGACTTACCACGAGCTGCATACAGAGCCCAGCGCACAAGACAGGTAACTTAGCTGAATGGAGCACAAACACTGGAGCCAGCCTTCCTCTTGGGGTTTTTCTAAGTGCCTCTGACACTTATTGCTGTGTGACCTCAGGCAGGTTACTTAACCTCTCTGTGCCTCAGTTCCCTCATCTGTAAAATAAGGAGAATATTAGTACCTACTTCACAGGGTTGTTACAAGCATTAAATGAGTTGATGTGTACAAACACACTTAGAACCGTATTTGGTACAATTTATTTATTAAAAAAAATAAATACAGATTTACTATAGTCTTCTCCAATTCCCTCAAAGTTTGCATACAATGAAGACCACCTCCTGACCCAACCTGTGTGAAGTTATCTTTTAAAACTACAAGTGAGCTTTGGTCTACCTCACTGCCTACTGGACTGCATTCAAACTCCTTGGCCAAGTACAGAGACCTCTTACAATGCCTTCTTTCTACTCCTTCAGTTCCTCAGTCTTATCTCCAGTCAGCCTGTGCATTCCAGATACACGAAATTATTTGCTCTTCCCCAAATCCAGGTCTCCAAACTTTGCTCATGCTGGTCCTTCTACATGAAATGCTCATTTCTCTTTGTCTAGTTGGTGAACTCTGCTAAGTCCAGCTCAAACAATTCCTCCTTTAAACAGTTCTTTTTAAATGTTTATTTTGGGGGGGGGGGGGCAGGGGCAGAGAGAGAGGGAGAGAGAGAATCCCAAGCAGACTCCATGCTGTCAGCACAGAGCCCAACACAGGGCTTGATCCCACAAACCGTGAGATCATGACCTGAGCTGAAGTCAAGAGTTGGCCGCTTAACTGACTGAGCCACCCAGGCGCCCCCATTTCCTCCTTTAAAAAGCCTTCCTTCACCATTTCTCTTTGCCTGTCCCTCCTCTCCTAGCATCACCACCCCCTGCCCAATGAGTTATTTTCTATCACCTCCATCCTCTCATTGAAACTATGTGTCATCCATCATATTAGCTGTTGCTCTAGAGTATAAATTTCTAGAGGTCATCTGGTTCCCCAAACATCTGGTAAATATGTATGGTATGGTGGGTTACTATACAATATTGCCTTTCAATGCAATGCTTTCATCTTCAACTATTCCCATTCTGGGTTTTGATTTCCGGAGAAACCCAGGTTTTCTAGTGAAGTCTATCTGGGATCATGTGAACTTGACAAGCTCCCACGGCTGCAGCCAGCTCTCACAGCTCATTCTTGGTAATTAGGAGCTGGTGCTGGATTCCAGCCTTCCCCCCACCACTCCGCCCCCCAGCCAGGAACTTGTGCAGCATTCAGGCCACTGTACTTTGGCTCCTGAAAGCAGCCTATTATAGACTTCATTTCTCTGCAAACGAAAAGGAATAAGCACAGATGACTGTATTTTGGATTGGAATATTCGATTGAAGCAATGTATCTAAATACAGAGCATGAGAACTGTCCCTGACACCTATATTAATCACCACCTCTCTCTGATTCCTTCCCTTTGTCTTAGGGAAAAGGAACACTCTGAGGCAAGTGCTGTGAAAGTTCCTCCTTTACCACAGCTCTGTGTGAGGTGAGTGATGAAACAAGCATCCCTGTTCTCTTGTGTAATCACTAAGCTCCAGAGTCACAACGCTCTTCTCTCTCAGACTGCTAACAGCCACCATTGTGTTACGCTGTATGGAATATGTGTTTTGGTATCAACATCACATTTTTTTTTTCATGTTTTAAAGGTTTTGCTAGGAGGAAACTGCTAATCACGACCCCCTTGTTGGGACTAAAATCCAGTTCTGAAGGGAGATTTCTTTTCAGTCCCATAGTTTTATTTCTCTGGCTTTCATGAAACACAATTTTGGCCCAGTGGGGTCACGAGGATGTAAAGTACCACTAAGACTTCTCGTTTCTTTTTCTTTTGAGTCTCTGAAACATTTTATTTATTTATTTATTTATTTATTTATTTATTTATTTATTTTTTCTAAATTTTTTTTTTCAACGTTTATTTATTTTTGGGACAGAGCATGAACGGGGGAGGGGCAGAGAGAGAGGGAGACACAGAATCGGAAACAGGCTCCAGGCTCTGAGCCATCAGCCCAGAGCCCGACGCGGGGCTCGAACTCACGGACCGCGAGATCGTGACCTGGCTGAAGTCGGACGCTTAACCGACTGCGCCACCCAGGCGCCCCTTGAGTCTCTGAAACATTTTAAATCCAATCAACCGTCTTCAATCAGCAGAGACCCTGAGTAGAAAAACAAACAAACAAAAAAAAACCTACCAGAAGCCATGTTTCTTAGACACAGAGACAGAAACTAATGGAAGTACTCAGGGTGGTCAAAAAGTTTTGAAAACCCACAAGTAAGAACTATTTCTTTGGAAGGTAAATACATGAGGCGTTGATATGTTCTGATCATACCTCCTGCTTTCCATTACTAGGAATGAGGTGCAGGACAATAGGCATCGTTACGAACATCAAGGAGAGAAAAGAAGACTCAATGACTCAAAGACTCAAAGAAGATTCAATGACTGTTAGCATGAATACATGATGATGCCCTTACGTGTTTTTCATAGAGGAGGTGTGTGGGTCAACCCGTGTGAACATATGGGAGCCAGCGTTCGATGCCTCTGATTCTGCACGACTCTTCCCCAACATGAACCTTACGAGATATATTGTGTTCATTTTAAGTTACATGTGGGGTGTGTGCTCCAAGCATTCTGTAGTCATTGCCAGTGAAGTGGAAAGTAAAGGCCTCCAAACAGGTCACTTTGCCACTCTTTACCCTTTTTCACAGCTTGCCCTACGAATTTTGCTTTTAGCTGTAAAATAGTTCTGTTGTGGGTAAATGCTGGTGTTAGGATTCGTTTATGAGGGGTGCCTGTTAAGCATCTGACTCCTGATTTCAGCTCACGTCATGATCTCATGGTTCCGTGAGTTCGAGCCCTGTGTCAGGCTTCGTGCTGACGGGGCTGAGCCTGCTTAGGATTCTCTCTCTCTCTCTCTCTCTCTCTCTCTCTCTCTCTCTCTCTCCCTCTCCCTCTCCCTCTCCCCTTTGCCACCCCCCCGACTCATGCTGTCTCTGTCTCTCTCAAAATAAATAAACCTTAAAAAATTTTAAAAAAGAATTAGTTTCCAAAAAAAAAATCTCACTTTATTTAATGTGCTTAATTATTTCCCCCAGTTGTGCTACAAAAAGAAGGCAGGCAGGAAACAACCGCTTAACTATGTGTACTGTTGGGTGAGATTTCTTACACAAATCTTCAAGGGAGGTATTATTATTTCCTTTTTTCGTGCAAGGAAAGCAAGTCTTACAGGGTTACACAGCTCGAGGCAAGGGAGCGAGGGCTTAAACCTTCATCTATCTGCTTCACTAATGCTTCTACTACACTGGGGGTTGTAGACTCACAGCCTGACTCCTGTTTCTGTAAAGTTTTACTGTGACCATGTCAAGTGTACTCATTTACCTACTATCTATGGATGCTTTTGTACTAGCATGACAAAGTCAAATGATTATAAAATCTACGCATGGCCCATGAGCTTAAAGTATTTACTATCTGGCTCTTTATAGAGAAAGTCTGCTGATTCTCAATCATCCACCATTTCTTTCTTTCTTTTTTTTTTTTTTTTTAATAAAGAGAAGGAGAAAGAGAGAGGGAATGAGAGAGAGAGAGAGAGAGAAAAAGAGAGAGAGAGAGAGAGAGAGAGAGAGAGAGAGAGAGAGAGAGAATCCTAAGCAGGCTCCACGCTGCCAGCACAGAGCCTGATGTGGAACTCTATCCCATGAACCATGAGATCATGAGCTGAGCACAAATCAAGAATTGGATGCTTAAGAAGCACTACTTCTTAAGAGCTGTCATTTGTACATTTTTCTGAATAACATATGGGATAAGAAATTAGTGAGGTTTTCTTTTTTCCAAACTTACCACCCCCCCACTTCAATGTTAAAAAATACTTCAGAACACAGGAGGGTAACAAAGAAGAAGGTAATGATGGCTTATAATCCTGTGATCCAGGGATAACTAAGGCCATCCTTCAAAACTTTTTCCTGTGTGTATATGAATACATGCGATTTTTTCCCCCACAATGAAATAATATTATATATGTTGATTTGTATTTTGCCTTTTTCACTTACTATATTTTGGACATTTTTTCATGCCAACAAATGCACATTCATGTCATGTTAATGGCTGTATAGTATTTGATTTTATATTTTGCCATATTCATTTATTATTATTATTATTTTTTTTTTTTGGCAGCAAGGAGGAGAAACTCAACAAAGTGCTCAGTGCTAGAATAAGTTGTAACTAAAAACACACTATCCAGGGGCGCCTGGGTGGCTCAGTCGGTTGAGTGCCTAACTCTACTCAGGTTGTGATCTCGCGGTTCTGGGTTCGAGCCCTGTGTCAGGCTCTGTGCTAACAGCTCAGACCCTGGAGCCTGCTTCAGATTCTGTGTCTCCCTCTCTCTCTGTCCCTCCCCCGTTAGTGCTCTTTCTCAAAAATAAAAACATTAAAAAAATTTAAAAAACACTAAAATCATAAAGAGTTTTTTAAATTACAGTAAAATTATAGGTTTATTTGCAACTCAAGCTAGTGTTGGGCTCATCTGAACGCAGACAAGTCTCGAGGAATGTGCAGCATTTTACCTTGTAGTCTAGAACCTGTGAGGGCTATTTGACTACTTTCCAGTGACCCATGTTAAAGTGAGCATTTTATATCTGAGACCAGCTCTCAGTTGATATACTGCTGGTTCCACGCCTGAATGTTTTACTTCCTTGTTATGTTAAAAGGGAGGTAAGCATGCTGTTTGATAACATGGCATAATTAGATTGTTATACCAAATAACAGCCACATCTACACTAGCGTTTTGGCCTGGAATATAAAACAGTACATACCATGGAATAGGGGAATGCTAGAAACCATTACATACAAACTCTTCATTTTGCAAACGAGGAAATGGGGCTGAGAGAGCGGGCTTCTAGAACAGGGTTCTTTTAAGTGTCTTTGTTCTTTTCATTTTTAAGTTTTAAAAATAGCCAGTTCTTCTTTCTGCATGAACTCTTACTGGGAGCACCAATACATAACATGGGCAAAAGGAGAGCTGCTCTCGCTGAAGCAGGGGGAGGGGTGCAGGGTACCTGCTTGGCCTTCTCTTTGTCCCCACGTGTGGCCCTGTGGGTTCAAGACGATACATCCAGGGGCGCCTGGGTGGCGCAGTCAGGTAAGCGTCTGACTTTGATTCAGGTCACGATCTTGCAGTTCATGGCTTTGAGCCCTGTGTTGGGCTCTGTGCTGACGGCTTGGAGCCTGGAGCCTGCTCCCCTCTCTCTCTGCCCCTCCCCCCTCACACTCTGTCTCTCTCTCTTTCAAAAATAAACAAACATTAGTGAAAAAAAAGACCATATATCCCGATACTTGCTTGGATCTTGGACCCTACATTAGGCTCATTTCAGGTGTCTCCTTTGTCCTGTCCTTCTCTATTTTATGAAGAGTTTTTATGAAAAGGCATCTGATTGGGAGTTATTTTCTCCCTTGTCTGTCAACTATGTCTAACTAGGAGGGGAAGAATAATAATTGGGGTTAAATGCATAGAAGCATTTGTTTCCTGCAGACTTAGAGGCCAGAAAAAAAGATATTTTTCCCTTGATATTGCTTCAACATCGGAAAATGTTCTGGTGATGAATGTTATGTTATTGATGGTCAAATATATTCGACGAAACATTCATTTTTGCTATTCAGTGGCACTTGGCCACAGAACAGATCACAGTAAGCAGATCACAAAAAATTTACTGTAATTTTAGGGACATTTTTATTCCAACCTTTCATGAAAGGTGAACCATTCTATTACCTAATCCAGCGGCATAAATAAGAATTATTAAAACCCATCTAGATTATTACTTTATTGATGTTTCTCACCTGCACATCCTATTATATACAATGTTTATCTTGGATGACAATACCTTGCAGCACAAAAAGAAAATTGAAAGCCAGATCTTCTCTAAGAGAAAATCAAGATCATTATGTAAACAGCAGGCGGGTCTCATCCAGAATATGTCACATAAATATCACACCATGAAACAAGAAATGTAAATTATTGTACATACGCTGTAATGGAAAATTGTATTATACATTAGTGGAGTCACCCATTTATCTAATCACAATCAGTTCCCATAAAATCTCATTTAGGAAAGTTGAATGCAATTCAGGGGAGATGGCCATGGGAATTTCAATCAGGGGAACTTGAGTTTGGATCGAGATCTCACCCAGGCCTGTGAGTCGGCTTTTATTGCTTTCAAATACCTTCCAAATCTCTGGAATTATCTGTATCTGAATGGACCAGGCCCGCCTCGCACCTGGGGGGAAGACATGAGACCAGCCAGCATCCATGGCCTTATTTCTAAATCCTGGTTCAAAGACAATGTTCAACCCACAGTGCCATCTAAATGTTTTCTGGGCTTTCCCACTCCTCTCTGACCAGAATGTGGTCACTCACACTCATTCATTTGTTCATAGAGTCTCTTACTCAAGAAATACGTACTCAGCGCCTTAAATGCTTAGGCTTTGT